TCAATTCAATAAAAAAATTTTTAAAAAACACACACACAAAATCAAGTAATACACTCATTCCTACTAATTCTAAAAATATGAACTTGAAAATGAACATGTGCAAAACTGATATGGAAACTATTGATGAAACTGCACACGTTGCATCATCAGTATTCAGACTACCTGTAGAGTTATTGTTGTTACTATCAAGTAAACAAGTTATGAAAATAGAACAAGAGGTACTATTCATGAACCTTATACAAATATAATAAATATTAATATTTTATTCAATACTTCCACATGAAACATGGAGAGGAAAAACTACCACTGCAAAATATTAACATGCGCTTGCAAGATCAAGAGTTCATAGTATAACTAAGATCCAGTTATATACACAGCAAGAAGAATTCACAGCTTCCTACACCATAATCTCATTGCATGACACTGTCATCTGTACTACCATCAGTAATCTAAGTGCGAATAACACACTACCAACAAGAAAGAAGAGGACAAATAGTGAAGATGAAGACAATGACAATGCTACTCAAAAGAGAATTAAGAATATATACGAAAATTCAAACCCAAAGTAGTTTTTATTTAGACTATCGTTTTTAGACTAAGTATTTTGATTATCGATTTTACAAAGTTGTAAACATTTATTTTAATGACAATTATAATGAATCTCCTATATTATCTTGCATTCATACATTTTGAGTTACATATTTAAATAAACAAATTTGACATTCAATTACCTATATATGAACTTCTCCTATATAATCATTGATATACTTTCAAATACTTATTTAAATATAAACATTAGGCATTAACCCATTTGCGCAATGCGCGTGTAATAATAATAATAATAATAATAATAATAATAATAATAATAATAATAATAATAATAATAATAATAATAATAATAATAATATTAATAATACTAATAATAATAATAACAATAATAACAACAACAACAATAATAATAATAATAATAATAATAATAATTAATAATAATAATATTATTACACTCAATTTCCCGCTCAATTTCTAAAAAATCTCTCTTCCTAATAAAATATATTAATTTCTACTTTCCATTTGTACAATAATTCTGAGTTAAAATTCTATTCTAATATTATAAAATAGTGTAATACAATCTATACTATATATAAAAACACAATCCTTAAATTTTAACTTCCCGCCTAATTCCTAAATAATCTCTCTTCCTAATAAAATATATTGATTTCTACTTTCCCATTTGTACAATAATTCTGCGTTAAAATTCTATTCTAATATTATAAAATAGTGTAATACAATCTATACTATCTATAATATATATATATATATATATATATATATATATATATATATATATATATATATATATATATATATATATAAACAAAATCCTGGAATTTTAACTTCCCGCTCAATTCCTAAAAAATCGTACAATAATTCTGCGTTAAAATTTTATTCTAATATTATAAAATAGTGTAATACAATCTATACTATATATAAAAATAAAATCCTAGAATTTTAACTTCGTGCCCAATTCCTAAAAAATCCCCCTTCCTAATAAAATATATTGATTTCTACTTTTCCATTCGTACAATAATTCTGCGTTAAAATTCTATTCTAATATTATAAAATAGTGTAATACAATCTATACTATATATAAAAACAAAATCCTGGAATTTTAACTTCTCGCTCAATTCCTAAAAAATCTCTCTTCCTAATAAAATATAATAATTTCTACTTTCCTATTCGTACAATAATTCTGCGTTAAAATCCTATTCTAATATTATAAAATAGTGTAATACAATCTATACTTCTATACTATATATAAAAACAAAATCCTGGAATTTTAACTTCCCGCTCAATTCCTAAAAATATCCCCTCCTAATAAAATATATTGATTTCTACTTTCCCATTCATACAATAATTCTGCGTTAAAATTCTATTCTAATATTATAAAATAGTGTAATACAATCTATACTATATATAAAAACAAAATCCTGGAATTTTAACTTCCAGCTCAATTCCTAAAAAATCTCTCTTCCTAATAAAATATATTAATATCACCCAACCCCTCCCCTAACCTTTCCGCATCAACTATAATAGGTATGCCCCTACTCTTTACCTCCTGCACTACAATCAAAGCAGTCTCATGTAGCCTTCCATCTAAGTAGACAATATTTACTCCAAGCGCTGAAGACAATTTTGATTTGGGTATGTAGACCCTCAGATATCATTGGTGGATATCTTGGAGTGAAAATGCACGTGCGAGTTTTTTTTTTTTGGTTGACAACAATGACATATGTGAATGGTGAGTTTCCTCCTTTGGACACCACCATAAAAGATGTATCAACACCATCCCTTTCAAGCTCATCAAGTATTCTTTCGCCATGCGAGTCATCAGCAACCTTAGATATGATCCTTGGATTAAGACCAAGACGAATTTTATCATCCGGGTTTTATCAAAGCATTGCCAGTGTTACCACCTCCTTGAATCTCAAAGTTGGTGCTCCGAATTTTATCATCCGGGTTGGGGAATGAAGCTACAGCAGCCATGAAGTCAACACCGGCCATTCCAACACCTCAGACAATGCGATTTTTTGGGAGCGGCGGATTCCACATTTTCAGCTTGAAACTTCAATGAATTTCAGGTAGAATAACAGAGTAGAGTTTTTGAGGTTGTGCACCAAGTAGTTGTGTTCAGAGAGAGAGAGAGAGAGAGAGAGAGAGAGAGAGAAAGAGATGGGAAGGATAGTTGTGGTCAATATGGAAGGGAGGACTTACAGGTGCAAATTCTACATCACGCCATCTACAACTACAACTGCTATTTACCATAGGAGGGTTCGCCGACCTGCTGCCCTCTCTGCTTCGCCGGAACCAAAAACCACTGGTGAAGGCCCCAACCTCGCCGGATCTGTTGCTGCACCGCCAGATCTACCTTACTGGTCCGTCGCCGGAAGGAGTTACTGCCTCGTATGCTCGCCGCCGTACCCACAACTCGCCGGAGAAGAACCTCGCTACTACTCACTACCGACGGTTACTACTTAGCCACCAAGTCTCGCCATCTCGCCTCACAGGAGTCACAACAGCGCTGGTCTAAATAAGATTAGAAGAATAAGACATAAAAAGACAGAAAAGCCCTTCTAATTCACGGTCAACAAACGACTTCATTGACGGAGGATCAAAACTGTCCAACAACCAATAACAGTGTCTACTAAGTGGCAATTTTTAATATGGAGGATGAAAAGTGTCAATGCCTCAATAAGTCTAGGACAAAAAATGGCATTAACTCCGGAATACAATACAAGAATATTTAATTATGATTATATTATTATTGTGCCTCACAACCATTATATACTAACAGTACTTGAAAAGAAACTAATAATAATAATAATATAATAAAAATATAAGTGGTAATAATAATATCTAAAAGTAATTAAGTGTTAATAATAATAGTAAGAATATTAACGTAAGAGTTGTAACATAGAATAAATTGTAATAATTAATAACTATAGTCTAGGATTAAATTTGGAATTGTCAGGAAAGATAAACGACCTCTGGTGAAATTAACTCTTAAATAATTATATATCGATTTAAATATTCTTAATATATTACAACAATTCCATTCCGTGCATCGCACGGGTGAAAATACTAGTAATAATAATAATAATAATAATAATAATAATAATAATAATAATAATAATTAAAACTATTATTATTATTATTATTATTATTATTATTATTATTATTATTATTATTATTATTATTATTATTATTATTATTATTATTATTAATGATAATTGTTTTTATTGTATTTGAATATTAGATGTGTTGGCATTTTGTAAGTATGCATTTATATTCTTATTTGCTTGAAGAGTATTTATATTATTTGGTGGCATTTCGGCTATCATTGAAAATTTGATAAAAAAATTAAGCATTTTAATACTGAGAACATAATATTTTAATGGTAATGCTACACACCCCTCCAAAAATTGTCCTTATAATTTTTCCTCTTGACATAACATTATTTGATTGGATTTTTTAGCATTGATTACAAGTTGTGGAGTAAGTCAATTCATGAGCACCCTAATCAATATAAATTAAACCACATCAAGCGGGAAACTTTAGGAGAGTAAAAAAACATTTCCTCTAATTTTTCTTTCCTAGAATATTAAGAATTGTACTAGCTTACATGGAGGTTGACTGAATATAGGGATGAAGATGGAGAACATGGCGCAATTTGGTAGATGGGTATGAGCAGTATACTCCCCAACCCTATCCTGTATAATTATCATCACTAACTAGACTTGACTTTTTATGTCTTGTCCCAACAATATAAAATTAATTAACATTACTATATTTATAAGTTTATTATAAAATATTAATTGGTATTGGTGTCTTTTGTATCAAATATTATCATACATCATATACATAGTTGCATATGTACTATGAGAACAAATGTTTATCATACTCAATACAACTCAATTGACATAGATGGATGCACACGGTACAAAAACAAATTTTCAAAAATGTATATATTCATTATATATGTTAAGTAAAATGCTTAATTAATTTCCATCACATAATTATTCGAGCAAAAAGTCCAAATATAATGTGTATAAAACCATGATAATTATTCGTATAGCTGCTCATGCTTGATTTTTTTGGAGTCCCATAAGAATTGTGGTCTCACTTTTTGTAATTCATCTTTCGATGTTTTCTTCCTTCTATATTAAAGAAAACAAAAAGGTAATGACTTTGATGTTTTGTAATGAAAAGAAATGGTGCCACGCTTAGCCATGAAGGTTGAAAATTGTACAACATTTGCAATGCAAACCACTAAGCAAAAATAATTGGGCATGTTACAATAATTACTCGCAAGTCAAATACATGTGTGTTGTTTCAATATGGACCGAATTCTCATAATGTGGAAATTTTCATTTTAACATGAGGGAATTATTTGACAATATGAATCAATCTATCTGGATGCGTGTATGTATATAGGGGTGGAGGGTAGGGGTTGGTGAGGATCCAAACTCCCAAAATTTTGGCCCCTAAAATGTGTAAATTTATAGTAATTGCTATTCAATATTTAAATTTCATTTCGTAAGTAAAAATAAAATATTGAAATAATAAGTTTATAAATAAAAGCTCAAACTACAAATTGCATTGAAAAAAAAAGTAGATTTTCCAAAATAAAATAGAGAAAGTCTACAATAAATATTAGTGTCTCTTACACCGGGTATTATTTAAAGAGTCTTGAAGAAAATTTTAAGTTTATACTGAGTACTATGGAGCCATAAAAACGTACTCAAAGCCTATTTCATATATTTTCAGATTGTACCAGATGCACGAAGTATAAGTTCAAACATTTTCAAGTTAAAATAATGTTTCAAGGAGTGTGTGCGTTCTACGGCCTAGGAGAAAACTAAAAATCAATCAAAGTTGTCGATTTTCTTGTTTACGATACAATTGCTCATTTACTTTTCATTACTTTGCTTTGTTACTTTCCAATGCTTTCTCACCAATCTTTGAGACTTAACTTCCTAGCGCTCCTACACCCTTGTGCTTAGCTACGCGTTGGTTGATTCCAATTGCCCATTCCCTAAGGACGATATCTCGTGTGAGGATTCCATCTCACACAATCACCTGACCACTACATTATTACAACTTTTCAAATGGCTCCACTACCGGGGATGGCAACCCGTTTTGAGTAGTGTATTTACATTGAGTTGACATGAGCTAGCGTACTAGACAGGTAGACTGGGTCACTTCTTTTACTTTACTTTGACTTTTGCTTTTGCGAAGTAATTTTTTTTACTTGTTTGTGTTTGCAAATTCAATTTTTTTTTTTTTTTTTTTTTTGTGATTTTGTTAGTTGGTATTGCTACCACTAGGGCACTAGACTCCTAGCTCACTTGCAACTACTTTTAGTTGCAAAAAAAAAAAACTTCTCTTGTGTTTGTTGTAATTGTAGCTGATCCTTTATGATTTATTTTAAGGAAAGGTTTCAACAAGAGGATCACTATGAGTACCAAGGAGTCTATGAGCCACAAAGGGGATGCTATAATGCTAAAATTTTCAATCCTTATGGCTGCTATGGAAACTATGAGGGCTATGACTCACCCTCCCTAATAAGATAGAGCTCCACAAGATGAATATCAACCAAGAGGTCTACCACCACTATGGGCTCAACATGATTATCAAGAGATGGTATATAATGACTATGAGCATCTAAGGAGAGTCTCACCACCCCGAAGAAGAGATGCCTATGATGACCCACCGAAAAGCAACAACGAGTCCTACTATGATTATGACTATGAGCATTCAAAAAGGGCCCAACCACAACAACGAGACTTCCATTATGATCATCCAAGTGAATACCAAGCACTGTGATGTTACTAGGATAATCATCAAGAGGTTTACCATGATTAAGAAGACTATTCCTATGAGTACCAAGGGAATAGAAGGAGTAACTCTCACCAATAACACTTTCCACCACTAAGAAGAAGCTACAAATCTCAATCATACTACTCTAACCACTATGAAGATGACGAGGATTACCTTCCACAAAGAGGATACACTAATGTTCAATCCTATGATCTTTACTCATCCCGAGCCTACTCTCCAAAATCTACTCTCAAAACACACCTCCACCCAAAAAGAAATCCATTGCTGTGCACATGTATGAACATTAGTTGAAACCTAAACCAAGAGATCCAAATGATCTCTACAAAACCATTGGCTAACATATGTTTGAGGATATGAATTTACAAGTAATTTGTCATGCTTGTAGAGAACCTCACTATAGACATCAATGCCCAAAGTACTCATATTGCACGGAATGTAAAGGGATTTTTTTTGGATGAATGTATGGGGTACATGTACCGTGAGTGAAATGAAGTTGATCAAATGTGTTATGCTAAACCTCAAGGACAATACAGATTGAGTGAAGAAACTTGGGTGTTGGCTAAACGTTTGGGAATCATCATTGTACCCAAGGATACCATGGATAAGGGCATTAGAGTAACACCAAGGGCCAATCATGGAACTATATGCATAACCGTAAAACAACACCTTCAAAGTTTCCTTGAAAATGATGAAAAAGGCCACATGGAGGTAGTTGAGGAGCCAATGGCAATTGAAGAAGATGCCTCAGTGAATGAAGAGTTGCAACCTCAAGAAGGGGAAAATCAAGATAGGATGAATGTGACAGAATTGAAGGATGGTGAGGAGGAATGTGGAGATCAAGGTGAATGTGTGAATGATAAAGAGGTAGATGGGTATGACAAGGAAGATAGTGAGGATGTGGGTGTGCATGATGGTGTTAATGACGATACAAATTGTGACAAGGAGCATGTAGGAGGGAATGATTCCATATCTTGTGTGGATCTTCGTAAGTGCACTAACTTTATTGATAAATGTGATATTATTGGTGCAATTGAAAAGAACAAGAAATATGAATATGGAGGTTTTGATTTCCATGGATTATCTTGTTAGGGGAATGAATGTGAAATTGATTGTGATGTGGAGAATATCAATGGTTGCCTGCTTGATAGTGAGTTTGGTTGTGAAATTAATTGCATATCTCATGATGACAATTGTGCTTATGTCGATTTGAATGAATTGCCTTGTGGTGATACTTGTGGAATGGTGTTTATTTGAACAAGACCATTATCTTTCCTTGAGTTCGGAAGTGCTCTCCCGCTTCTCAATGTGATGGCTTGAGCTTTTTCTTGTGATTTCTCTAGAACTTCCTTCTTGGTTTTGGAAATTCTCTCTTCCAAATCTTTGACGAATGCTTGTGTTTCACTTCTCAATGTGGCAATCTCCTTATGAAAATCCTTCCTCCGCTCTTGTTTAAAACTTGCCAAGTCATGCTTAAGATCTTGCATGAATTTCAAGGTTCTCTCCTCAAATGTCTCTATTGGACCATCATCTTCTCTACCTAGAATTTCCCTTCTAACCATGTACGATGGTCTATAAGGGGTAGTGTTGGTTTCCCTCTCCCATTTAGCATCTTTACAAGACTCTTGAATATCTTGTTCTTCAAAATTCCATAATGGATTTGGTAGGCAATATTGACCTGATGGTTTCCATTAACGGTTTTCTTTCCACTCTTGTGGGCATATATAATCACTTGGATACTCATAAGGATAATGGTGATGGTATCTTGTGGCTTGTGATTTAGTAGAGTAGACTCTTTCTAGTTGATGTGGTGAATGTGAACAAGGTAGGTATCTTGGGTACTCATTATCATAATGATATGAGGGTAAAGGAGAGTAGTAGGTGGGGTAAGAGTTGTAAGGTTGGTCTTATTGGTTGTAAGGTCGGAGTGGTCTATGTAATTCCTCTTTGTGATGTGAGTAGTGCTCATAAGAAGGTGCATCATCATAGTTACATTGATACTTTGGATACATCCTTATAGATCAAACCTACAAAACCAAATCAAGACAAGGGGTTGCAACTAGAAGTAGTTGCTTGTAAGCAAGAGATTATCAAAAGTAAATTGCAAAACAATAAAGTAAAAGAACACTTAAAGTAAATACAAGAATGTAAAAGTGCATGCAAAGTATAGAATCAACCTCATGTTAACCAAGCCAGCACACTAATAAACACCATTTACCGTCCCCGGCAATGACGCCATTTTGACAAATGGTATATGGAAAGAAAGTTGATGAATGTGGATTCCACGGGATGTTGTTCTCTAAGGATGGCACAAGGGAGTGAATAGCATGGGGCTAAGCACAAGTGTGAAGAAGCATCATGAAGCTAGATTTTAGCGTTAAGAGAAATGGCATCAAGTAGCAAGTACCAAGAGGACACAAAGGCCGTTGAAGTAAGCAAGAAATGATAGAAAGTAAGCAAGTAATATGAGTAAAGAAATGGAGGCGATAGGATAAGTTTCCCTTACTCAAAGGCCATGAAGAGTCATTTGTGGAAGTCACAGAGTGCTTGAATCGTGATTCTTTGAAGACGTTTGTCAAGTGCCAAAGCCATTCCGGTCATCGGCCTATCAAATGGTTCGAGTTCTACTTTTGTAGTAACTTTAACCATTCAAGATATTTCATCGAACACCTTGTCCCCAGCTCCATTTTCCAACAGAATACTTATCCATCAAGACACAATTTGACCCTCCTAATTACAATTAAAGTTCATTCATGCTTCTGGCAAGGTAAACCAATCCAATTCCCTAATGTACCTTGTTAGGAACATTTTGTATTAGATTTTGATGATACCAAACTTAGGAGTCTAGACCCCCAATTCTTTTTATTTCTAGACTTAGTTTATCCTGCTCAACATTCGAATCATAATGAATGGTATCTACAGTAGTCAAACTGTGTTCATCCAAATGGATACTGGAGGAGACAGTCATTACACAGATTCGTAGAGTAACTCGAGTGGTTAACTCTCAACTAGTCAAGACACCGAGTCTAAGACTAACCCGAATGGTTATCTTTGACTGACAGAGAAGAAGAATAACCAGAGTTGTAACACCCCTGAAATTTAAAACCTTGAATACCTATGAAATAAAGGTAATACTATCATTTAAATCTCAAAATAGAGCATACTAAACATAAGAGTTTGGGGTGCTATGCCACATTTGAGCTGGAGAACTCAGATGCACAGGCTAGACTATCTAAACATCCTCAAAACAATGTCAATACATTATCATGGCACGCAGGCCGAAAGAGAAACTAGCTAACTAAACCTCGGTCCTCTAGCGCGCTCCGGACCTACTCATCTGTGCCTGAAAGCCAAATATATCTGTTCAGCGAATAACGCTGGTAACCCACTCCAACGCGTTAAAATACAATATAGGTATATATATATATATATATATATATATATATATATATATATATATATATATATATATATATAAGCCGGAAGATATGTATACTTAGGAGACTCTAGTTTAAAACTGAGAATAAACTCGACAAGTAGGTACAAGCACATTTGTCAGTTATAATCATGCATATAAAGATACTAGCGTACACCCTAAGGTCACAAGTTTA